ATCCAATTGATCAACACATGGCATGGTACACCATATTGATATTTGATCAAATGTGTCTTGTTGTCTCATACATTCTAAACATGGTCCACCATATTGATGTGATCAAATGTGTCTTGTTGTCTCATACATTCTAAACATGGTACACCATATTGATGTGATCAAATGTGTCTTGTTGTCTCATACATTCTAAACATGGTCCACCATATTGATGTGAACAAATGTGTCTTGTTGTCTCATACATTCTAAACATGGTCCACCATATTGATGTGATCAAATGTGTCTTGTTGTCTCATACATTCTAAACATGGTACACCATATTGATGTGATCAAATGTGTCTTGTTGTCTCATACATTCTAAACATGGTACACCATATTGATGTGATCAAATGTGTCTTGTTGTCTCATGCATTCTAAACATCGTCCACCATATTGATGTGATCAAATGTGTCTTGTTGTCTCATACATTCTAAACATGGTCCACCATATTGATGTGATCAAATGTGTCTTGTTGTCTCATACATTCTAAACATGGTACAACATATCACTCGTCAAACAATACAGAACAACCCCACTACTTCTTTATAATATAGTTTTTACCTGTTTTCTTTGCCTTGCTGTAGTTTAGGTGATGGTGTACTTGTGGCAGATAGATCCAATTGATCAACACATGGCATGGTTACGGCTATGGTCTTAGTTAGACCAACTGACCTCTCATGGGGAATTGGAGAGATAGATGGAGACACTGATTCAGTCTCAGTAGGCTTTAATAAATCAACTAAAAGACAAAAACAAATGTGTGATTGATCAGATGTTAATATTTTAGTAGATGGGCTTACTACAGACACATTCTTAAAACAGTTTTATTACTTTTTTATTGGGAAATCAAGACTCATAAAGCATTGTGAAATTTTTTTTTCCTTATAGAGCGCCCTCAACTTATATAGATATTATTTTTCTCTAATTAGAAAAGTAAAATGCAGTGAAAAACTCAATTTGGTAAACTCAACTTGATTTTTGGGATAGTATTTTGTCTTGGGATGCCTACAAAATCAATCCTTCAGTGCAAACCAGTCAAACCAAATTTGTTATTTCTGTCTAAAATGAAAAGTAATCCGCAATATTTGAATTACCGGTACTCATCTTACCATGATGGTTGACATTTCCAGCATCAGATAGTGGTCTTCTATACGATTGTAACGACTGCAATCTGGCCTGTGCATCACTACGTTGCTGTGTTAATGTCGCTATCTGTTGGGTGAAGTCTTGGGCTTGAGTATTAGAGGATGTTGTTGTCATGGTAACCACTTTCACTTCTGTAGTGGATGATGAGACAGCAACAGATTCACCAGACAGCTGTTGAACTGGTATTTCTGTAGATAGATACATTTATATACCATTATTAACCTCATTTCACTGTGTTTTTTTTCAGTCATGGAAACGAATATTTTGGAATTTCTACAATACATACCATCTTTTGCATTTTAAAAATTATCATAATCTTGTGTGACTTTGCAATGTGACGTACAATTTAGTTGTACAAAAGTAAGAAGCATTGTCATCATTGTGTGTGACAACTCACCTGATGTTTTATGCAGGGTATTTCTATCTCTTTGTCTGGGAGGTGATATCATTACAGCAGTCTGAAGAGGTTTAACATAAGATGGCACAGTGCTAAGAACTGATGAAAACTGCTCAGCTAATTCATTTGTACTATCACCATCTAAAACAAACATGATGGACAAACACATCAATCAATCAAACAATATATATCACACATATAGGATTTTTTTTCTTTGTTTTATCTGCAACAATATGAACAATACTTCATAAGGATTCCAGTACCCCCAGGTATTAGAAAGATTTCTCATTACGGCAATACATTCACCATTCTATTAGCCCAGCAGACTGAATAAAACAATTTTATTAATCATGCATTTGGTTCAGAAAACTGAATAATATATTCTTTTTATTATCCATTAAAAAGACAAGTTGGTACACTGGAAAAATTATGTCCTTAGCAGATAGCAAAATGCAAAATGGATACAATGTATTGCCATTTTTTTGTGTTCTCACTAGAAACATGTACACCATAGCAGTACTGACACAGTGCCTCGTTTTACAGCTACACTGTTCTGACACTTCCATGGTCATTATTCTGACTGACACAGTGCCTCGTTTTACAGCTACACTGTTCTGACACTTCTACGGTCATTATTCTGACTTCCACAGTGCCTTGTTTTATAGCTACACTGTTCTGACACTTCCACGGTCATTATTCTGACTGACAGTGCCTCGTTTTATAGCTACACTGTTCTGACACTTCCATGGTCATTATTCTGACTGACAGTGCCTCGTTTTATAGCTACACTGTTCTGACACTTCCATGGTCATTATTCTGACTGACA